CGTGTAAAATTGTAAACAGATGGAAGGAATAATTTTGCTGAAGAATCTGAAATTTCAGCTAATCAAAGTTTTACATAATTATATTAACGATCCAACAAAGTTATTCTCAGAGATCCAGCTAAATATATATTTAAATACTTCAGCAAAACCGTTCTTTCCATGAATACATGGTGACGTTCTCTCGAGATAGATCGAGTCGATTCCGTGACGCTGCGTCTTCCTGGACGACCGCCGTCTTCCGACAAGGACGACGGTTTAACTGCTACGCCTGAAGTGAACGTAGGCAAGATTACTTAGAAAATAGTTTCCTCCTCTCGCTGCGCCTTATTACCGAGAAAGTCGCCGCGATGAGCGCTTACGAACCACTGAACAAGCACCAGCATGCGTAAGGAGTTGAATCGTCCGCCCCGTCACTCTCCTCGTCCTTCTCCTCTTAACTCGGCTACTTCTCACGCATCGGAACGACCTTTCGCGTTCATGGAATCTCGCGCGATTCCATCGGCTCTCCCGCGTGCGAACGCCAGGCAGCACGCGAGCTTGAGCCACAGTCTCGCCTCCGGGCGGAAAAAAGGGGTTGTCGAGGAGGAAAGAAGGGGAGGAGAGGAAACGTATAAGCGTTCGACGAGCAAGAAGAGGCGGCCTCCTTATCCGAAGGCGCACCTAACTAGGAGAGATCCCCTCGGTACGAACCACGGATGCTATTATTCCCAACACGCGCGGCGGAGGCACGATGAAAAAAATATCCCGCTCCCTCGTTCGGCCGTGACTCCGCTGCGATGCACGGCGGAGTCGTTGCTTATCGATGCCTCGGGTCGATACGAGGCGGCGGAGAGCGGTAACTACGTATACGCGTCGCCCGCACGGCGAATCGGGTTTTAAATTAAAAACTCGCTCGTTCATTCCGCTCGTTTCGCGTCAGCTCCGGCTGAAACTTGCGGCTGGCCGCGTACGGGACAAAAGAGCCACGAGACGAAAAACTGACGTTCTCCTATGAGAATACGGGAAACTATCGCGAGATATCGTATTGTAATATACCGTAAAGAGAAAGAACTTCTCGTGTGATTTAGAAGTTTTATTTGATGCAACGCTGTTTTTTTTTTTGCAGGTACGTCGCTGTATAGCAAATACATTGAAGATTGAGGATTGCGAATTTCAACGAATTAGAGTGAAATAGATTGAAATTAAAATTATCTAGTTGGTCGAATACTGATCTTTGTATTAACGTTTGAAACTTCAAATGTTCGAGCTCGTCAATATTGGTTTCATGTGCAATATATTTTTAAGTTAGCAGCACTGAATTCCTACATGACACTAATTGTCCATTAATTACTGCCTTAATTTTTAATTCGAAGCTTTTGCAGATACTTGTTTTAATCTTCCGTTCGCAATCTTCAGTCTTCAATGCGTAGTTTACGAGCTTCAATTGTATTGATGCGCGAACACATACAATTAGCACTAAACTTTCATACAAAGTTTACCGCAAAGTTATTTTCTTCCTGTATATGGTTCAAGATTTTTAATGAAGACTATATAGAATAAAGATTCGTCTGTCTCTTTTTCAGAATTCGCTATATTTTATATATGTCAAACTATTTCTTTCAATCCTACATATGTATATATCATATATGTATATATAAAATATGTATAAATCTCTCTTGCATTTTCAACGATAAACATCACAACCTCTCTTTGTCACGTAACACTGTGCACTATACGTAATGTACAATTATCAAGATCATTATTTAATTATTCTGTTCCATCAAATTAAGAAATAAGATTTAAAATCCCGGTGTGTCATGAAATCAACCACCGGGCGTGCGGGAGTATATCCGCTCATTTCGCGGTTCCCTATAAATAATATGACACAAATATAAAAGCATTTCATTAAACGATTTAATTATCCCTTTATTTTTCGAAGGGGGCAGGAGAGACCCGATATTTCGCACGCGGCTTCATTACATTACACGAAGCACCTACCATGAACGCGCCGTTAATCGTCCCTCGTGCGTTGCGACGCGCGCTGTCTCCCACCTCCTCTCAACCCCTCGATGCAATCAAAAAGTACGCGGGCCGAAATAATGACCGTTTCATTCGAAACTCTGCGATTTTAGCTGGCGTGCG